GGGGGGGGAGAGAGAGAGAGAGATGGAGCGGGGTCGATGTGCGCACACCCTCCTCCTAAAGGAACGTGACATTGACGCCAGGTTGTTATGACCCGCCTGGTACTTGAAATTCTGTGGAGTGTATGCGCACTCGACCCTTGTCCCCAATACCAACGCGGCAGAGAAGGAGAACGCGACCGGCCACGAATATGTGTATTAGGAAATTGCAAGTCAAAATTAACTGGAAGTAACACATATTTATAACGCCCTACTGTGCTTCGCCGGCGTTCGACCCAATGCCCTTCGGGAAGAACATTCGAGACGAGCTGATCGATCAGGCCCGAGAGGAAAAGCCAATGGAGAGGCGCCACGATTAAGATGACAGCGCAGTAGAGAAAACGCACGTGGCCTCCCGTGATTGGCTGACTCTTATTTTTGGGAGTGTAGGCACTCCCAACACCTCCCCTCCAAGTAGGTCAGTACCGCCTCTGGCGTGGGTTGATCTGCATCAGCCGTGTTGATCGACGCACGCGGTTGGTCCGGCGTCTTAGTCGTGGTTTAATGCCTGGAGACACGGGAGCGGTAACTGATACCGAAGGTGGTATATCCGAAGGGGATGCAGCAGTGGGTTCGGGAACCGACTGATCTGCCGGAATGGCGAAGGTATCCAGTAGGATGTCAAAGGAGAGTGACGGCGCCGACTCGAGCCCAGTTGTGTTACTGCAGTGTCAGCGTCGGATTTGGTTGTGGTGGCGAACCCAGATGTCATCACCAACGTCGACGTCAAACAACATACCGCCTCTGTGCGCTACTACGGTTGCTTCAACCCAGTCTGGGAACCCCGCTCGATAATCACGAACGGAGACAGGTGTTCCGATGGAGAGCTTGCTGCGAGAGACTGGAGAAGTCTGCGCGGGCTGCGCACCGGTAGGGACGAGGGCATGAAAAGTTGTACGCAGTTTTCGACCCATCAACGCTTCGGCAGGAGAAACGCCACCATGGGACGCCGGGTTCGGTGTTGTCCTGTAGGAAAACAGGAATGCCTGGACTATCTCGTCCGTGGTCTCCTCCCCACGAGCTTTCAAGAGGGCCCTCTTAAACGTGTCGACAAAACGCTCCGCCTGACCGTTAGACTGGGGGTGGTAGGGCGGGGAGCGAAGATGCTGGATGTTGTGCTGGCGGCAGAAATCCTCAAATCTCGACGAAGTAAACTGAGAGCCATTGTCTGAAACCAGGACTTCCGGTAAGCCATGTTGGCTAAAGGTGCGTCGTAGGAAGGCGATAGTGGCAGATGCGGTTGCTGGATTCAGCGGAGCAATCTCGGGCCACTTCGAGTAGGCGTCAACCAAGATTAGGTAGGAGACTCCGTTAAGTGGGCCAGCGAAGTCTATGTGCACGCGTGACCAAGGCCTCTCCGGTGGTTCCCAGTGTACTGGCGGTCGACGAGGCAGCATCTTGGCAGCTTGCGGACATCGAGAACAGCGTCGAACCAGGTCGTTGATGTCGCCGTCTATACCCGGCCAGTAAGCAAAACTCCAAGCAATTGTCTTCATTCGGCTGTTACCAGGATGAGCGGCATGTAACTGGCGTAGTACAGTGGGTCGGAGGGAAGATGGGGTCACCACACGGTCCGCAAACATGAGGCAGGAGTCAACCACAGATAGCGATGCTCAGCGGAGGAAGAGCTGACGAAGATCACCAGCGAGAGCAGTGGTTGGCCAGCAGGTCTGCACGTAGGTGATGGCCTGAGGGAGGACAGGATCCTGTTCAGTAGCATGCCGGATGTCCGCGGCAGTGACAGGGATACCTCGTATGGCGTCTGACAGCTGACGGCGCACGTCCTCAATCGAAATAGCGGCAATCACGGTATCTTCCTCCGGTTCCTACTGATTGCTGATGAGGCGAGAAAGGGCGTCAGCCTGACCAAAGTCTGCAGCATGACAGTAGCGATGTCAAAATCGTAGCCAAGACGGATAGTTGCCCATCGCTGAAGTCGGCTGGCTGAGTAGACGGGAATGCCTTTCTTCGAACCGAAGATTGACAGCAATGGTTTGTGATCCGTCAACAACGTGAAGTGGCGACCGTACAACAGTTTGTGAAATTTCTTGACGGCAAACACGAGGGCTAGAGCTTCTTTCTCTATTTGCCCATAGTTCTTCTCCGCAGGGGTTAGCGTGCGAGATGCATGCATGATCGCCTTTTCAGACTCATCAGGAAAAGTATGTGAGATGACGGTACCAACTCCGTGGTTGGAAGCATCTGAAGCAACAACGATCGGCAGCGTCGGGTCGTAGTGCGTGAGCAGCAGATCTGAACTCAGCATCGACTTTAGCTGGGCGAAGGCATTTTCACAGTCGGGGGACCAGCACCAGGGAGCATCCTTCTGCAACAGACGGTTGAGCGGGGCCCGTACGTCATGCAGCGATGGTAGGAAGGCGCTATAGTAACTGATCAGGCCAAGGAACGAACGAAGTTGCGATACATTTTTGGGTGCAGACATCCGTTGGATGGCCCGAATGTTTTCAGGATCTGGATGGCGACCAGTGACGTCAAAAACGAATCCAAGGTACTTGATGGAGTCGAGGAAGAACTGACACTTGTCAGTCCGTAAGCGAAAGCCATATTCCTGTACGCGTTCGAGTACTGCGCACACTCGGTCTTGCAGCTGGGCAGGGGAGCGACCCACGATGATGATGTCGTCCAGGTATCCAGCTGTGCCTGGGATGTCGGAGAGCATTGCGTTCATCGTTTGTTGGAACAGGGCCGGGGCGGTCTTGACACCAAAGGGCAGCCTGGTGTATTGGAACAGACCGCGGTGGGTGTTGATGGTCAACAATTCGCACGACTCTGGGGCGACCTCGATCTGAAAATACGCATCAGCGAGATCCAACTTGGCAAAACAAGTGCCACCATTCATCAGGGTGAAAAGATTAGCCGGAACCGGCAGTGGATAGCAGTTCGGCGTCAGTGCGGCATTGAGACCGGTGGAGAAGTCAGCACAAATGCGGACCGAGCCATTGGGCTTCTTAACCACAACGATTGGAGCGGCCCAGGCGGAGTAGGATACAGGAACCAGAACTCCCAATTTCTCTAGACGCTTCAGTTCAGCTTCGACAAGTGGTAGGACTACATATGGGACTGGTAGCTTTGGACGGAAGACTGGTTGACTTCCAGGAGACAGATGTAGCACGGCTTGAGTGTATGTGCAACGACCCAGACCGTCTTGGAACACTGGAGCAAACCGTTGGAGAATGTCCTTGGCTTGGTCTGCAAGCACAGCGGAAATCTGCACCTGACTGCAAACAACGCGGAGCGACATATCGGCCAATCCAAGTTGTTCAATGCAGTCGAGACCAAGTAGGTTGAGGTCAGACTTGGTGATGTAGCAGATCGCAGTGATGCTGGTACCACGGGACGACACACAGCATTGCAGTTGCCCAATTAGCTGTACGAGACCACCGCACGCGCTTGTGGCGGACTGGGAAGTCTGCTGGATCGTGGGGCTGCCAAGGAACTGCCAGAGTCTCTCAGAGATGATGGTGATATCTGAGGCAGTGTCCAACTGTAGGCGAACTGCATGACCATTGAGCAAAACTTCAACAAACTTTCTACGACCAGACGCATTGAGCTGGAAAGCAGCCAAGAGACTGATAGAATTACCAACGGACTGGGATTTGGGCTTGCGTTTTGGCCGGAAACGATGCCTGGAATTATGAGTGGCGGGGGCTGGCTTGCATCCAGAAACTGGTGTTGATTTGCAAAACCCATCAAGGTGTCCCACCTGATTACAGCTTTGGCAGCGATGCTGGCGGAAGGTGCAATCCCGATGGAAATGCCACGCGCCACAGTGCCGACAAGGGGATGGCGGAGAGCTCGCCTTGGACACTTGCTTGGGCCGCGATTTGGTCGATGTGACCGAATGGACTGAGAAAGATGAGACAGGGTTCTGAATCATTGCAGAGTCGTGCTTGAGGTTGATCAGCGTTTGACACTCTGCTGCCAGCTCTTGGAGTGTGGTAGAATTGTTCTGCTGTACTATGGACAGGAGACGTGTCCGGATATCAGCATCCTTGGGGGACTGGAGGCCGCAGATAAATATAAGGCATTTAAACTGGTCTTCAGTGAGAGAACCGAGTTGGAAACGCCCACACTCACGATTGACAATGCCCGCATATGTGATGAAATCATCGCAATCTCGTTTGCACAGTTGCAAGCACTGAAATCGTGTGTTGAAAAGAGATGTTTGTTCACCAAAAATCTGCGACAACGTCTGAACCGTGTCCTTGAAAGTGACTTCTCGGGGATTCTTGGGGAGGATGAAGTTGGCATAACGCTCATGTTCAGCCGGACCCAGTTTGCGAAGTAGAAGTCGAACCTTCCATGCATCGTCCTGGGCAGCCAGATCGACAGAGAACATGTCCTCGTGTCGTTTGTACCAGGAATCGAAGGTGATATGGGCCTGCGGGTCAATGTGCTGGCAATGTGATCGACAGAATGCGAACCACTAGCCGCGCTTGATTGGCTCATAGATGAATTGGATAGCTTGACGGCCAGAGCCTCCATCAGCTTCAGCTGCTGCTGCAACATTTGCTTCAAGTCAGGGTACTCGTCAGCCATTGTAGTTGAAAAACTGCATCGCCAATTTGTTATGACCCGCCTGGTACTTGAAATTCTGTGGAGTGTATGTGCACTCGACCCTTGTCCCCAATACCAACGCGGCAGAGAAGGAGAACGCGACCGGCCACGAATATGTGTATTAGGAAATTGCAAGTCAAAATTAACTGGAAGTAACACATATTTATAAGGCCCTACTGTGCTTCGCCGGCGTTCGGCCCAACACAGGTCTCCTGGAATAGCTTTGTGAATTTTTCCATCTGTCGCTGCTCACCCGTCTTGCAGAGTGCTGCCGAGATTGCATCGAATTTTGGTGCTTTCCCACTGTAGAGTTGTTGCACGGCTCGGATGGTTTCTGGGAGAGAAATGGAAGGTCCAGGTTGTTGGCAGTTGGGGGAGTCATTCGATGGCGGCGTCGGTGTGGATTATATTGAAGGGCTTTCTGGTCATTCGAGCCCTTAATGACTTGCCAGAGTTTAACGTCGTCAGTAGACATTATTTTATCACAGTCGAATTCCTAGAGGCTGTCATTAATATAACAGAGGAGGTGTAAGGGTCCGAGAACTGAGTCTTGAGGCACACCACTGACCGCGTTTAGCCAGATTGATATATCCCCTCCGATCAACCAGAAATGCCCTTTTGCATCTCAGGAGATCTCTCTGGATGCCGAGGGTGCTCAGTTTATGCAGACGGCGTTGGTGCGGGACAGTGTCGAATGTTTTGCGGAGATCGATTTACACGACATCGACCTCCAAGCCCTTTTCTAAAGCCCTGGTCCAGACCTCCGGACAAGTTAGCAAATTTGGGAGGCAAGAACGTCCTCTCCGAAGCCTATGCTGAAAATTCTGTTAGATGTTATTTTATAAAGAAAATTGTTGTATTGCACTCTTTACTAGGACTTGCATCGTTTTGCACGAGAGGCAAGTCAAGCTAATAGGCCTGATACTGCTTGCTGCCATCCTGTTACCTCCCTTATATGGATGAACGAGGTTGACTGTCTTCCACTCTGAGAGCAGTCTCCCTGTTCTCATCGGCTGTTCAAAGAGAGCTGAGAGGGGCTTTGCTAGTTTCTTTGATAGTAACTTAGGTATTACAATCCGAAATAGCACTGTACCGAAATCCTTTTTTCGGTACTACCACATGAGAAAGTGGGGGTGGGCATTAGAAACTTTAAAAACTAACGAAAGCATTGTCAGACTTCTTGCAAACAGAGGAGGGTCAACTGCGATTTTGAACAAAGCAGACATCACTGAAAAGATGTTGTCATTGTTAGAAGATAGATCATTCTTCTTACCGCGGACCCTACCAAAGCGCAGAATTCAGTTATTGAAAGAGTGCTTAGACGCCATACAAGGAAGATACAAATATCAGGAGCTATTGCGAAATCCCGGCGACAAACTGAACCGAATATCGCTAAAATCTATGGACTGTTTAAGCTTCACGAACCTGAAGTGCTACTGCCACCGATAATATCGTTAATCGGTGCACCCAATTACAAGATTTCCAAATAGCTACCACACGGAGTCCATGCATTGGTAAAGGATTGTAAAGCATCAATCGAGTTTCTGGACAAGTTATAAGGACTCAAAATTACAGTAAATAAGATGATGGTTTCTTTCGATGTCGTCTCTCCCTCTTTCTCTTTACATCCATTTAATTGGATTTGACAAGGCAATGCACAGAACCACGTCTCCAGTCCTACGGCACGGAAGTTTCTGCGTCTGCTTTGTTAGAACTCCTGGACATATGTCTGACAGAAAACAGGAATGCTACTGACAGCTGAGGGGAGTCCCTATGGGATCACTTATCTTGGGCTATCACACTGCCGTTAGTTTATCAAAAATTATGGGTACGTTATGTTGACGACACTTTTGTTGTCGTTAAAAGGGATCAACTGAAAATGTTCCATAGCATTTTTAACTCAACGCTTCCAGGACTTATATTCCCACTCGAAAAGGGGGTTTACGTCAAAGTGCCATTTTTTGATGTCCTCGTACATTAGCGCATCAATCGGCACTTCGAATAGGACACCGTGTACACTAGTCTCGAGGAGAAAGTGGAAAAGGTGATACCTAATCAGGACGTCATACCATCCCACAGCAAAGGCTAACTGGCGGGAATGACAGGGCAATATCGATTTCCAGACATGTTTCAATTTTGCACACTCGCTTTACGTTTGAGGACGACGTGGGGAACCGGAGTAGAAAATGTACGAAATAAATTTTGTTATTTTTCCTGAAGAGGTAACTTCCATCAAAATATATGTTTATGTTTATATTGAACTACTGACGTAGTATGCGTTCCGAGGTGCTACAATGAAGATGTAAGGCCTGCCATATGTGTAGGCAAACAAGCCCGAAACAGTTGTGTATCAATTTACCCCCCCCCCCCTCCACCCACCAGACTCTGTCGTCTCCCGTTTGATATATAGATATGTATTCATCCGGGAATGGGCGCACACCGATCCATTGGCTTCCCAAAGCAAACAAGCTTCGTGAATAAATACTCGATCTGCAATGACAGAGAATGACAGGTGGCGAGGCACTGATGAACTTCGGTTCGATGAAGTGCCTATGACCCATCTGCTAGACCCCAGTGGTGGACCAACTGCGCCAGGTGCGTCTGCGCGCATGTTTGTGTTTCTGGTCCCAGCTGCTGGTGGTCAGGGTTACAATTGGCTGAATGAAGGCAGAAGAAGCCCTAACCAGTACTGTATCAATCTACCTGCATTCTCTGTCGTCCCTCCTCGCTGATATATATACACTTACATGAAGTGATCCCTGGCACTTCATGCTTTCTTCTCGTTCACCTTCCGTAGATCGCATATACACCATGCTTGGCGGGTCAACACAACTCTCGGTGGAGATATTCGATGTCATAACAAAGCAGAGTAAGTGCGGCGCGATTGGGGCTTTCCAGAACTGGTCCTATTCAGCTGTCGGAATCCATGACCATATCCTCGTCTTGGCTGGCAACGATAGATCGTCAACCTGGTGGGCCTACGACACACTCTCTAATAAGTAAGTGATTCTTTTCATCTGCAGATTTTGACTTCAAACTGCTGTTCCTCTGACGAACTTTGGTCGGTGACTGACATGACATCCCAGGACCTTCTGTTCACGCTGTTCGGCAGAGCCCAGATGTTTTACTTCGCCTAAACAACAAACTAGCACCTATGGGATATTTTACAACTGGAAAGAGCAAATTCAGCGTCCTAGTTGCGGATATTTGTGGCCATCTATTAAGCTGTTTGATATAAATCGACTATTTATTGTTCCGTTTTTTGTCTTTCACCCAATCCTTGCAGTAATATTGCTGAAATACTATCCCAACATACGGATTTTTTTTGGAACAGTAGCGTAGTTTCTTGTCAAGTGGACAATTTTGCGGAACAGATCGCCGTAGATGTAGCCGATCTGTGTAAATGTGCATAAAAAGTTGCGATGAGCGGTGATGGATTTGAATGCAGCAGATGCCTGTTAAGGATTTACCATAAACAATTTAGGTGATGCAAGAGGTGGCAGAGAAATTCCGCCAGTTTGAAAACTAGTACTAGAAAGTGGCCCATGAAGTTACTAGGGAATTTGGATAATATCGGTGCTGGCGAGGATTGGATATGTAAGCGCACTGAGAAAATAGGGCCCACGGACTCATGTAATACGGAAAGGATGCTAGGGGCAGATGAACGCGGCAATTATCGGAGTCTGCAAAAGGCATTGACGACCAAATATATAGACAGATAGGCAGAGTTGCTATGGGATCGCCTCTTCGTCCTCCCCTAGCCGATGTCTTCGTGGGCAAGCGGGAGAAGTTCCAGTTAAACGACCAAATCTAAGGCACTACAGTCGTTACGTTGACGACATCTTCGCAGTTACCACTACAGAGGCCAACCTAACTACCCTTTTGGATGCTTTAAATCAAACACACTCGTCGATCAGGTTTATAGGTCAGTATATTTTAAGGGTAATAGGCAATGCCTTTGAAAACCCTATTGTAAACGGTACATGCAGTATCTAACTTTAAATAAACATGGTACTAAAATGTTGTCAGTAATATATCCACTTAACATAATATTTTCCATTGAGAATGCAGGACCGAAGCTCAAGAACATTCAGTTGTAGATGATATCGGTAAAATAACAGTCATCCGCATTAGCGGTGGGTGTATGCAAGGCGTTGGCTTGGCACCACAGAGTTGTTCTGTCCAGACAAGCGGTATTGACCAAAATGACACAAGGTCTGGGAGCACTGCCCTATGAAACCAGACTGTCAATCCTCAACCTGTTTCCCCTTTCCTACAGGCAATTGCGTGGTGATCTTATACTAACATTTCGCATTATCAACGGCCTAGACTGTTGTTTAGATCCCACTGATTATTTCACCCACGCTAACACGCCCACTTTGCGCGGTCATCCCCTGAAACTACGCGCAGGGAAATCAAGAATCAATGGACGGAAGTTCTTTTTCAGTAACAGAGTGGTTGCAGCGTGGAATGCCCTGCCTACTGATGTTGTAACCTCCCCCTGTGTGAATTCCTTCAAGTGTAGACTTGACATGCATCAAGCTTCCCAATTACCACTCTCACATCCACTCACATAACCCGGTACAATATTATAGTGTTTATACTACTTGTAATTAGTGAGTAACAGTTAATGATTACTCTTTTTCGACTAGCTGTCAGCTGTCCGCGAGTATGTACAAAATCCCTTTTTCACTTGCATTCAGGGTTTAAAAACCACAAGCCGTATATTTTCCGCATACGGAAAACCATACAGTTCTCTACGGTATTAAAAGGAGACCATATGGGGTTCCTAAAATTTAGCAGTGGATTTGGGCCTTATTGTTAACTTTGCGAGCCACATTGGTAAATGCAGAGACATGACGTTTTATGAACGGCCATTTCACGGTATTAAAAAAAATTCACAATTAGAAATTTTTTTAAAACCAACTTATACACTTCCTTCGAGTATAAACTTGGAATAAAACGTAATTGCCTAGCGAATAATTAAAAGAATGAACATTTTTATGCATGTTTTCCGTGAAATATAATTGAATTCTAAAGGGCGTCGAAAATCAATGAGAAAATTGAATGCTACTTCAGTAGTCACTTTTTGCAGAGTATAGTTCTTGAATGCAGTTGGAAAGAAGTTCATTCGAAAGCCGGCACTCTGCGGTAACTGGATTATTATAGAATTATGCTGGATGGTAATTAATTTTACAAACAAACTTAATTAATGTTTTCGAGACGAAAACGTATTTCGACATTTCGGCTGACATTTCATGAGTTAGCCCACCTACTGTAAAAGAATCCTGGACCTGCTTCGCGAGTACCGGGTATCCTGACAGATTTATTGTAAAGAATCTTGCTGAACGACCGGCAAAACTCATCATATCGACAGCGGAAAAGGAAATCCTGCTCCTCAAACTCCACTTTCAAGGGGACGCGGCGATTGAGCTCCCGAGAAGACGCCTCGACCAAGCTGTTTAACTAACCTTCCCTGCCGCAGGAGTTAAAGTATTATTGTCGATCAACTCCGTCTTACGCGGGAAGGTAAGGATAGGCTACCAGCTCAGACCACCTCCATGTGCACTTACTCTTTTGCTTGCTCCTTTGGAACAGGCCATATTTATCGTACGAGTCGGCGACTATCCACATGAATACGATAATACCTGCCGGCATGGATGAAGAAAGGTGAAGTTAAAAGCATACACAGCTCCATCCTCGCACACATGGTTGATTCTGGGTATCGTGCTGACTGAAATGAAGCCTTCCGTGTGATTTATAAGGTCCTACCTAACTACCCCGGGTCAGTGCTTTCTAACAACAGTAGAAACGACTGCGATCAGGCTACGGAGGCCGGTCCTGTGCGCCCAAAAGAACCTCCTGCACGCCCCGCGTCTACCCTAACCAAAGGTGGATTAACTGTTTGCACGTCTCCGCGCCCCCGTTCCCCCATCCCCTTCCCCTGTGACACGATTCTACCTAACGCTCACTGTCACTTACTGCCTCCCCCCCTCTTCGCACATCCCGCTTGTATGAGAAGACGAACCGTAATCGATTCCTCTTGTCGCTCACGCGTCTTACTTTGTGCCTCGTTCCCATATGGAATGCACTGGCCCGACCAGAATTTGTCGGAAACTCGCGTGCGCTCGCCAAATGGTCTTTTCAGTTTTGGATATTTACTCGTCAAGTTATAAGCTTCAAAGGTATTTTCTGAACCCCAATCTCTACCTCCAGATGGAAAAAAGGCCCAAAACTGCGAACACTCCGCAGAGAGTCGTGTCTGGTGACACTGCAGAACCGATATGTCCTGCTGATTGGTGGCCTTTCCTCCTCGTACGGGTATTTGCAGTCTGTGGAATACTGCGAGCCAGGTCATGCAGGCGTAGAAAACGACGACGCCTTCTTTGATGTTGTTGGTTCAACTTGGACTCACCCAGCTCCGCCCCTGCCGGAGGTGCTGGTGGACGTAAGCGCGGCCGAGCTGAATGGTCGCATCTTCGTGATAGGCGGTTCAACCAAAAACTGGGGTACCGCTGCCAGGACTGCCGTCTTCATCCCGCAGATGGGTGCCGACATCGCCGACTGTGACGATAGCCTGCCGCGCCTTGGGGGACAGTGGTTTCTGCTGTCGCCAGAGTCCTCGCCGTCCTCGTTGGCGTCAAACCTTGTGAGCCACGCTGGTCGTCTCTATTTTCTCGGTACGTGCTTACCCTTCTGTCACCCATCGTCTCCTTTTAGCTGACGAGTGAGGTAAAACGTCTGTAATTGGGATGCCACATTCCCAAGATTGAAATGCGGATGGGAACAAGAACGAGGAGGATTATTCGCAAGTACTTGTACGCACGTCTGTCTTCCGTGCCTCGAAGTGTGTAAACCTCCGAGCGTGCGTGTTTGGTCTTCTCGCGCGTGGCACGCGTAGACGGCAGGTCTGGCTCTGCCAGCGACTGTGTCCCGGAACAGTGGTTTTCCTCGTCGTTTACGGCGGGCGCACTGCGAGCATACACTTTATACGGTCACGATCACATGTGACCTGGCACGTCCCATAGATGTTCCGAATGGGGTCATTCTACATCTGACTGTCTGACTCTCTCTCTCTTCTAACGACGAAGACTGAATGCCAACATTCCAAGAGCCTGGTGGTGCCTGTGGTGGTGGTGGTGGTGGTGCCCCTAATACGAGTCACGCGGTAGATGCGCTGGACCGAAACGTGGTCTAGGTTGGAGTCCGGTTGGCGTTATTAGGAATGCGCGACCATGACAAACGTCAACGCCTTTGGCGTGGCGTCAGCTCCCGGTGCAGGCAAACCCCTCCCGAGCCGCCACGTCTTTCATCTTGGTGTAAAATTCTGGTTAGTAGACACCGTGGACCAGAGGGTGTGGTGGTACCCCCAAGTGCGGGTTTTCGTCGTGTCAACCACCTGCATCTCTCTTGGCTTCCGGTCTCCTTGCCTTTGCCATGACAGCGGGCCCAGGTGAAGGATGAGAAGGAAGTGCAATGGGTGCAGTGAAAGTCTAATATCGCTATAAGCTCACCCTCAGGTCCCCGTCCCTGCGTTCACCCTGCTGTGGAGCACTCTGTGGGCAGCGCCAGTCACGATCATCAAGCTCTCCGTTAAATAGAAGCCGCTCCACTCGTCCACAGGTGTCTGCGACCCCTCTATCGACGTATGCCTCTTCCATGTAAACTGCTGCGTCATGCCGGATTTTTCTTGTTTCCATCCCTTAGGTCGTGACCTGTATAATTACGACGTTGGTGTTGCTCAGTGCTTCCGACCCTGCAGCGAGGAAGAGCTTGAAAACCTGAGGCAAGAGGCCAGCGAGAGAGATATCGCTGTGGATGAAGCTGCATCTGAAGCGAAGGCAAATCCGGCTGATGAATCTCCAGGCCCTGAATCCGACGAAACGGAGGAAGATAACGTCACAACACTTCCTGACTCGGTAAGTTGTGCCAACTGATACCCACTCCCTCTCCTGAACTGACTAACCTCAAGCAAGAGGCAGGAGCGTTGACGGCGGGGAGAGAGTGGGAGTGCAGTGATCCACCGCATGCCTCATTAGTTTTTATGGCAGACAAGTCTACATGACTAACTCCCCGAATCAGAACTGGGCAGCAGGGCTAGAAAAAAAGTGTATTGACGAGTAACCAAGTACGTGTATACAGGTGAAAGAAACATTTGAGAGTACACAAGGTCAAGCTAATAATGGACTAGTCCGGCAATGTACTTGCCTTGCCGCTTTTTCAGCTGAACTACTGGCTTCCCTGATTGGCTAGATGTATCTCCAATCCTGTAGTGAGCATGCGCATCATTAGCAGCGAATCGTGTAGGACGGCTCTTCCTCACAGGTTTGGCGTCATACGATTTTACCTGACCAGTCTGCGATTGAAACCCCCTGGCCCCTTTTGTGAACCAATAGCATCCACGCTGTTGGTTGGCTTAGACTCGACGCTCATACAGTGTGATTAGACGTTGGTTTGGCTTTAAGTTTGAGGCTCAAGGTGCTAGTTCGTCTATTAGTTGGGCTCTTAGGATCTACTTAGCAACAGGGATCGACCTTCTCTGGCCAGTCGATAATGCTTCCGGGGCCTCATTTATCTGCTGGGTTTCCCTTTTCCCCGACAGTAAAAACGCCCATAATCATCATCATCATTGGCACAACAACGACATCAATCATCACCATCACTTCTTCCTCGCCACCATTCTTATAAATTGCACTAGCCGACCTGACCTGGAAATAATCTAATCGAGCCTGCTGTCACTGTACTCGGAAATTTGCCGGTGGTTTTCAGTGTGAACCAAACCCCATTCTGGGGGAGGGAGGAGAACGGTGGTGCAGCAGATATCACGTGGGAAAACTCGTTCGGTTTTGAGCCTGCACACCGAACTCGCCCCACCGACGTGATTAATTCAAACAGAGTCTGAACACGTCATGTTGCCTCTGTAAAAAATTCATTTTAACCCAAATGGGGAAAAAAGTCAGCGACCTCTGTGGGAGGAGGCATCATGAATATGCGGAACCCGTCGGTCAGTTCGTCTGTCTGCGCCTACGTGGTTTCTGTCACTAGAGTATCTGCATGACGATTTTTGCTATCAGCCACTTTGAAATTGCCAATCGGTAAGATGATACGGTCTCCTTGGAACGCCCTGGGTTGAACACGAACGAGTGCGTTGGACCAAGAACGGGGATCACATTGGCGCCCCACAGAACACATTGATCTGGCTGCGCAGAGTTCGCCTGAGTCCATTGCCACTGCCGTACATTAGGCGTAGACCGCCTCAACCACTGCGCCCAAGCCCACCACCATCAACTGACTTACAAGGGGAAGGGGGAGTGGAGCAGGCACCGGGGAATCCATCCGCACCACCTCTCAGCACATTCGTCAGCATAATCCATCTGGCGCACCTGGATCCAATCACGACGCACAATAAGGCATGGCTGAGGGGACAGCTCGGTCCCAGCGAGGACTGTGGCTGCAATGGTCCCATCTTGGTGTGGTCCCCATGGCACAGTCACTCACGCCAGATGCTAGCCGACCTGTGGCGGCAACCGGGTCATGTGGGTGGCACGCGTAGACGGGCTGTTTAACTTTGTCTGCTACCCGCCCGCGCCTGCCTCCGGTCGTCTTGGCATAGCCCTGCTTTCGGGACACAGTGGGCAGGGGGGAGGAGAGATTGCGGTAGATGCTGCGTGAGCCTGCTTCTCTACAAACTAATTCGCGCCAGCGTAGCCGATGCTGCGTCAACTTCGTGGGCCTCCCTCTGGACGTCGTCGCTTGCGACGGTCGAGCAATCACTTTCACGCATGTGGGCGGAGTGAGGCTTGACGAATCCGGCGACCGAGACCTGGCGGCATTTCCATACGGGTTATCTCTCTCGCGTCGTCATGCTATCGACTGCCTTATTTGCGTGTAATTTAGGCCAATCTTTATTTTTTTTCTGCACTGCGACTCACGATGCCACGATCCCCCATTACTGGCACTATTTTTATTTACCCTAGGACCCGTTAAGTACCTGGCGTTGGCGGCCATTCTGCGCGCCTGACCAGCCTACCCGTGTCTCCTGTGCCGGTGTCATCAATGTCACTATCCCAAGTGGCCGAAAATGAAGAACTTGCTTTATTTATTTGCCTTTCCTTTTCACTGCCTCCTATTTTAATACCTTTACAAGTCGTCTGTGATGAATTGTTCCTCATTTGTTTTCTTTATATGTGGAAAAGCTTTTGTCAGTCTCTACTAAGGTCCTTGCTAATCGCCGTGTTATCTTCCTCGTCTTGGTGGCCTTGACCGCGCGTCATGTGTTCCACAAGGGGGGGCGGTGGGGGGTGGGGAGAAATCAATAGCACTAGTCTATCGGAGGATGCGTAGAAGAGAGGGATCGTTCTGGATTCGAAGGCAAAATGTTTCTTCTGGCAGAAATCGAGCAAATCTGTTCTTCAAACTCACTTTCCTGATGGTGGGGGGAAATGCTAAAAAAGCTGCTTGGATTACTCAGGGCGGATTATTCCCCGGGGCCTAGTGTGTAAACTTCATACCTGATATCAGTTTAGTTCTTCCGGATTAGATTAAGCAGGGCAGAAATATGACCATCCCTTCCCCCCCCCCGCCTATCTGGAATCCTTGCCCACATGGCAGACGTCTACATTTGGTTATCCGCCTCGGGAATGATGATTTCGACTATATGTCCATAATATTCATTTCCTAAAATCACAGTGATTCGGCCGGAGTTTGATTAGCTGCCTCGAAAGTAATGCATTTGAAGACCTGCGCCTGCTGTGGTTTAACGACCTAGCGACCAGTTATCACGCTCGTCCGCCACGTATAGAGGCGCTTTCATTTTCTGGCCTTAACCTTTGCCTTTTCGTGCGCGAATCAGTTGGGGGGAGGAGGAGGCATCATTTTGACATACAATGGGACGAACCACTGTTGACGCCACCCTTTGCCCATTCAGATCCTCTGTCTGCGCCGACGTGGCCTTCAAAGTTTAGGACATGGTAGTAAGAGTTTCTGTCATCAGAGTATCGGTTTGACGGTTTTTGCCATCAGCTACTTTGAAACCACCAATCGGGAAGATGATACTGACACTTTGGAACGCCCTGGGTCGAACACGAACGAGTGCGTTGGACCAAGAACAGGGATCAGACTGGCCCCCCAAAGGACACATTGATCTGGCTGCGTAGAGCTCATCTGAGTCCTGAGGCCGTACATCAGACTTAGACCACGTCAGCCACTGTTCCCAAGCCCACCACCACCAACTGATTTACATGCCTGTGAGAGGGGAGGGGGGAGTGGAGCAGGCACCGGGGAATCCATCCCCACCACGTATCAGCGCATTCGTCAGCATAATCCATTTGGCGCACCTGGATCCAATCACGACGCGTCATGAGGCATGGCTTGGAAGGCTGCCAACTAAGGAGACAACTCGGTCCATGAGGCTGCAAGATGTGACCTGACCTGTGGCGGCAACCTGGTCGTGTGGATGGCACGCGTAGACGGGCTGTTTAACTTTGTCAGCTACTCACATGCGCCTGCCTCCGGTTGTCTTGTCATAGCCTTCCTTTCGGGGCACAGTGGGCAGGGGGAGGAGAGATTGCGGTAGATGCTGCGCATGCCTGCTTCTCTACAAACTAATTAGTTGCTGACCTTTAAAGCCACGGCTTTTAGTGCATCGTGGTAGATGCAAGTTCGTCATATTGTTTAGAGTGAAAAATGTGCGCAGAGATGATTGACTTCAGTCTCGCTTCCCACTTCCAAGCACCAGTCGCCTCTCCGAGTCGTGAGATGGTTTATAGCGAGGAATTATTCACTGAGAGTCTGTGGCAGTCAAGGATGTGAGATCAACTTAAACCACGCGCAAAAAGTTAGTTTCGTCTAATGACAGAAGTCAGGGAGCTGTGAGGACTAGTCTACTCTGTACACAGGGCAGGTTGCCGTAAGTTGGCTGTTTGCTTGCAACAGAGAAAAGCGTCCGTTCACGGAGAGCGTCAGTCGCGGTGTGCGTCTTGTTTACGCGGGAGTGGTGTCTGGGTCAGCAGGAGGGGTGACTGGCTGAGTGTTGGTCGTGTGATTGGACAAATTAGGGGAGAAATGGAGGGCGCATACTCACAAGGCCTCAAGGGAATCAAGCCAGAGCGTTCGACGCGCGTTAGGGCAGCCGGGAGTCACTGCAGCTGGACAGGCGGGGCCCCAGTTCTAGCCGGTATGGGTGGTCGTGTGTCAGCGGCCTGTCAGTGCTTGTCACGGCCATCGACCGACAAAACGGAGCCGGAGAAAAGGGGGGCTGGAGCGGCTGCTAAAAGTCAACGTCACTCATCCCTACCCCGTGCGTCAGCCGACTGTTCAAGCAGGCCAACCAACTGATGCTGAGGGTTTGGAGTGGCGGTTGACGGAACCGAGAGTGCCACAAGCATAGAGGAGGATGTGGACCCCTCGGATCCCACGTGTGACAGAGCTGCCACAAGGATAAGGCAGCCGGATGGCACGCTCCTCACTTACATGAGAGGGGCTTCCAGCTCTGGTCGCAGCGCGGTAGATTCGTAAGTGACCGACCTGACCGATGCGCGAGTTGAATGCGTAATCGCAATGAGGACAGGTTGGAACCGAGTCCTCATCGCAGGGAATGTGGATGGTGGTAATAAGGGCGTCGGGGAAGTTTTATTCGCTGGTGGTAGTGAGATAGCTGGTAGTCCTCGCTATCGTCTCGGAGGTTTTGGCAAGACTGACAAAGATGGCGACGGCGGCGGGGCATCGCGAGTGTGGCCATCGGCGGTGGAGGAAGTCGCCCTCGCGGATACCGTGCTGGCTGGTGCGGGGGTGACGCGTGGGGTTGTTGGGTTGATGTTGCACTGGTTCCCGAGATATTCAACGAGGTCGATCCTTGCGCGGAAATTCTGTTGGCAGCATGGGCATGTTAGAGGAGGTTGGGCGTTGGCCTTATGGGTGGGGATGCTCAAAACTTGTGTGCCGCCTTTTGGCTTTGGCAGTGACTATCTGGTTGGCTTCATAGATGGCTGCCCCAATTAGCACTGCACTTCTCCCGACCACTGACTCTGTGCGAAGTCTTTCTATGTTTTCGGTTCATTTGGTAAACATCCATAAAATTTATGTTGTTAATAGAAGCGAAGAAGCGAGTTCTAGGAAGTAGTCGCTAAGATGGAGACACGATCGCTGGAACAATAGCTTTAATAGCCTGACGTTTTGGATTCTCACTCGAATCCATCATCATAGACAGAATCAGATAAGGGTACTGGATTGCCCAGTTGTAGCAGTATTTTTAACATGTAGTTGCTAGGCCGCTACATTGACATCGGGGTCCCCACGACTGTGAAGCAAGCCTAGACCTTGGCTAAGAAAGGACACTAACCAAAGTATCAAAGCATAAACGAAAGGCGTCCGACTATTCCGTGGGTAGATGATGTTTGCCCAAATAACCAGATTGTAGTGCTGTCTGGGTATGCAGCTTCTCGACGCGTCAAGGGTCTTTAATAGAAAAAATTTTATTTAATATCAGACTGAAGTCAAACATGCGGCAGGGGGGGGGGGTGGGGGGCGCATGGTTAGGGCGGTGGCGTCGACGGCATACATAAGGAAAATTCTAGCGTCGGTTCCGACGATGTCCACCGTGTCCCCTACAGCAAGTAGTGGGAGCAGGGACGGTGACTTGTGCGGGGGTTTATAATGTCGGCGAACTTGCGCCGCATCTACCACACTCTCCCCAACCTGAGCCCGGTGTCAAGACAGAGTCAAGAAGACCGGAGATGAGGGAGGCCGCAAGTGGATGGCTCGGACGGATCCTCACCTTGGCACTCCACCACACCCCCTGGTCCACACAACAAATAACCATGTTTTTGACCAGCAACAACAGAGAGTGGAGGCTGGCACGGCCGAAGCCGCACCTAGGTGTGTCGCCAATGACCGGCTCGGATCTCACACAGTGGGAGTGCCATAAAGGCCACATTAAGAAGGAGCCATTGCAGCCTGACTGTCAGACCACCAGCCAGCCACTCCACACAAACGCACAGCACTGGGCCGACTGCGAGGTCCAAGTTGTCAACCTTCAAGGAGACGGCTTTTAGTTCACCTTGAAAGCTTCAAGCGCGTCAAATGGTTTGTAGTGAGGAGGAAAATGCTCTGAATCGTCGACCTCACACTTCCTTCCCATTCCCACACCTCAGCCACTGTCCGAGCCAGTCAGCTGACTGCAGCGGGGAAGGGGCGTGGTGGCTGACATGGTCTAGTGACCTTGTCTGCGCTAGACACATGCACGATCTGGTCCCCCAAACCCAAACGCCAGGATTTCGCACAAGGGGGGTTGAGCGGCGTGAGAGGGCCGTGGAAGGAGCTGTATCGGCCCAGCCCACCAGTCCGCCTATCCACACAACACACGCATATCTGGATGGACTGCTTGTATTGAGTTGGGGCTTCAATCAGCAATATTTCCTCCAATGAAGCTTGACGCGTCGGGATAGTCTCAGGCTCACGTCACCCATGCAACAGGAGCCGCATGGAAACCGAGTGGAGACGCACACTTCCCACTTGTGTGGGAGATGGCGGTTGGGTGCTTGCAGTGGATGATGTTGACGTGTGGGGAGGCCGGGAGGATGTGTCGGTGTGGTGCAGCCGACGGTTGTCAACCACAGGTTTTCGTGGATGCGCATGCAACCGAATAGACCCATGCGGCGCATGAATGTGCGAGGGCAGTGTGAACAGCGTAGGTGGGTGCTGCCGGCACTGGTTCGTCAGTCTCTGTGCAAAAGCTTAGCAAGTGATCGACCAGGCCGATGAGTGAGGTGAATGTGCGTGGACAGCGTGGGCAGGAGAGGTCGGTGTCAATGGCGGAAATAGTAGGGGACGCACAGGGCGACTGGGTGAGGGTGGGGCTGGGCGTGGTGTGTGTGTGTGGGGTGTGGGGGTGTCCAGCGGTGGGTTCACGTGATGGTCGTGGTGGTCGCTCACTTGCTCGTAGGTGAGACTACGCCTAACGTCCATTTGCTGGCACCAAACTCTCACCTGTGGCTCCAAGTAGCTGGGCTCTGCTCAGCGGCCACACCCGGGGAAACCGCCTCGACCGGCGGGCTAAACCAGGTGAGGGCGCTGTGCGCTCGTGCCGCGTGCAAAGTGTACTGCGGACTCCGCTAGATGGTTGGTCGGATGAAACACTGCGTCGGCATCGTCGAGACGAGGCTCTGCCTGGTACGCCGTTGGATAACTGCTGCCGGGACGGGTCTCTGCATCGCCTTCGCTGAGACGCGCCCACCCTCGCCGACGGAGACCGCGGACTCACGCCATATGCGGTCGTTCTCCTCTACAAACATAAAAGTCGTGGCCCCATAGTGGGATTCGGTCGCGCCAACGAGGCACATGGGCAGCCCGAATCAGGGGCGGCACTGACTGCCCCAATGAAGGGAAGGGCCTAGAAAAGGATGCCTGAAAAAATGCTGGGTACCACGCCGTCTGCATGCTGGCCAATGTCGAAGATGTCATCAACACGGTCGATACATTCAAAATCGAAACAACAACAATACCAACAACAACAACAACCATAATCATTCTCCTCATCCTAACCCTTCTTCCTCTTTCTCCGTCTATTCTTCTGCCTATACTTCTCCTTCGTGATCTTTTTCTCCAACTCCTTCCCGTCGCCCCACTCGTTGTCCCCAGACTGGCAGGGTCAGCCCGCTCACTCTGGCAGCCTGGAATGTTCGTTCCCTTTTAGACAATCCGAGGAGCCACCGACCGGAGCGGAGGACGGCTCTAGAGGCACGAGAACTGGCGCGCTACACGGTGGACATCGCCGCACTCAGAGAGACCCGATTCTCCGAACAAGGACAACTGGAGGAGGTGGGTGCCGGCTATACCTTCTTCTGTTCGACCCAGGGCAGAGAGACGAGACGCGGATGTCGCCTTCGCCATCCGGAACGATATCGTGGGACGAATGCCCTGTCTACCGCAGGGAATCAACGATCGACTGATGAGTCTCCGGCAAGGAGGCAATTTCGCCAACATCATCAGCGCATACGCTCCGCCGATGAGCAGCCCCGACGCCGCCGCAAGACACAAGTTCTACGAGGACCTGCACGCCCTATTGCCGACTGTGTCGAAAACGTACAAGTTAATTGTCCTTGGCAGCTTCAACGCCCGCGACGGCCCAGACCATACTGCCTGGAGGGGAGTGCTGAGCAACCAAGGTGTCAGCGGCTCCAACGACAATGGTCTGCTGCTCCTCCGCACCTGCGCAGAACACCGCCTCATCCTGACGAACACGTTCTTCTGTCTGCCGGAGCGAGAGAAGGCCACCTGGAGGCATCCTCGGTCGAGCCAGTGGCACCTGCTGGACTATGTCCTCGTCCGGAGGCGAGATCAGCGGGACGTGCTGGTGACGAAGGCGATCACGGGTGCTGACGGGTGGACCGGCCATCGCCTCGTCATCTCGAAGATGCGTATACGTCTACAGCCTCGCAGGAGACCACAAGGTAAGCGACCCCCAGGTAAGCTGAATGTTGCTTTGTTGTCTTTGCCCGCTCATCATCTTCATTTCAGCAACGAGCTAGCTCAACGGCCAGACAACCTCCCCATCGCCGATGCCGCCGCTGCCGAGAACGCCTCCCTGGAGAACCGCTGGTGTCAACTGAGAGACACGGTCCAGTCGACGGCGCTCGCCGTCCTCGGTTGTGCTCCCCGCCAACACCAAGACTGGCTCGACGACAACGACACCGCCATCAGAAATCTGCTTGCTGAGAAGAACCGCCTACAAAAAGCCTACGTAGATCACCCCACTGAGGACAACAAAGCTGCCTTCTACCGCAGTCGCCGACAACTTCAGCAACGACTGCGCGAGATGCAGGACTCCTGGACTGCTCGCAAAGCTGAGGAGATCCAAGGCCACGCGGACCGCAACGAATGGAAGAACTTCTTTTCCGCGATCAAAGCTGTCTACGGTCCGTCGAAGAAGGTCACTGCTCCTATCCTCAGCGCCGATGGCAGCACTCTTCTGACTGAGAAGACGCAAATCCTATAGCGATGGGCCGAGCATTTCCAGGGCGTCCTCAACCGCCCTTCCGTCATCTCCGACGCCGCCATCGCCCGCTTGCCGCAAGTGGAGACCAACGTGGACCTCGACCTCCCGCCATCTCTCCAGGAAACCATCAGGGCCGTGCAGCAACTCTCCAGCGGAAAAGCACCCGGATCGGACGCAATCCCTGCTGAGGTCTACAAGCACGGAGGACGCCAACTGATGGATCACTTGACTGCGCTCTTCCAGGAGATGTGGCGTCAAGGCGAAGTCCCGCAAGATTTCAAGGACGCAACCATTGTGCATCTCTACAAGCGAAAAGGGAACCGCCAAGTCTGCGACAACCACCGTGGCATCTCCCTACTGAACATCGCCGGGAAGATCTTCGTCCGCATCCTTCTCAACCGCCTCAATAACCACCTGGAACAGGACCTTCTGCCGGAAAGCCAATGCGGCTTCCGTCGTCATCGTGGGACCACGGATATGATCTTCGCCGCCCATCAACTTCAGGAGAAGTGCCAGGAGATGCGGACCCACCTGTACTCTACCTTCGTGGGCCTGACGAAAGCCTTCGACACGGAGAATCGTGAAGGACTGTGGAAGATCATGCAGAAATTCGGCTGTCCGGAGCCATTCACTCAGATTGTGCATCAGCTGTACGACGGTATGATGGCGCGAGTCACGAACAACGGAGCTGTCTCACAGGCATTCGCAGTGACCAACGGAGTGAAGCAGGGCTGTGTGCTGGCGCCTACCCTCTTCAGTCTCATGTTCTCTGCCATGCTGATGGACGCCTACCGCGACGAACGCCCCGGCATCCGCATCGCCTACAGGACGGACGGTCACCTCATGAATCAACGACGGATGCACTTGCAATCGCGCGTATCCACGACCACAGTTCACGAACTTCTCTTCGCCGACGACTGCGCCCTGAAAACCGCCTCGGAAGAGGAGATGCAACGGAGCATGGACCTATTCTCCGCCGCCTGCGGGGTCAACGGACATTCCGGGCTCAAATCGGACTTGTTGGACATCTTCGGACCAACTGCGCCTCTCGAACTGCACCAACCATCGTCCCCCCGCCCGCCTCTTCCATGTCCTCTCTGCAGCCAACTAACTCTGACAAATCTTCTGAACCACCACCTCCATCCTCCCCCTCCTCCTCTTCCTCCTCCACTGCCTCATCGACGGCCGCTCACTCATCTATCGCTCAAGACAACACCGCACACAGCCCTGACTCAACACCAGACATCAACCCTGCAGCTTCCGACTTCAGACGTGAGGACCAGGACTACACCTGCCCTCGTTGCGATCGCACCTTCACCTCACACATCGGCCTGGTCGGTCACTTGCGAATCCATCGCACAGAGACTGGAGAACTAGTGCCTCGAGCACCAACCTACGCCCACCAAGCTCATCTCAACTGCCCACACTGCCCTCCCACCTTCATTCACCGCATGGGTCTATTCGGTCACATGCGCATACACTCATTTTACAACTACGGACCAGCTGCACCTCCCATACCGCACCAACCGGCGTCCCTACGCCCGCCTCTTCCTCGTCCTCTTCGCCGCCAACTAACTCTGACCGCTCTTCTGAGCCACCACTTCCATCCTCCTCCTC